AAATTCGGTTACCGATAATTAAATTTTTTAATTCTAGGAAATCAAACTCAGAAATTGCAACTTTGTTAGACTTATCGCGGTACAGTGTGAGAAATATTGTTAGAAGATATAATAACGTAACTGGTTCAGTTAATACTAAGCCACCATATGTGGAAAAAAGTAATATCACAAATGCCGACCGAAGAGCATTAAGAAGGATAATCGTGAAAAACAGGCGTGTCAATTATTTACAATTTAGTGCTCTGTGGAGTGACGCTGGTGGAAGGATAATTTCAAGGTCCACAACTCATAGAGAGGCCTACAAACTGGGATTTAGCACTTGCAAGGTAAGTTTTCTTATAAAAAAAAGTGAAGTAAAAACCCTAAAGTTGGGCTAAAGAACATAGACAATGGACACCTCAACAATGGTGTGCAATACAATTCGAAGTTTGTGTTGGTGACAGTCGCAGAAGAGTTATTTGCAAAAAAATGAAGCATTCCATGTTGACTGTCTGAAGAGAAAAGTGAAATTCCAGCATCCATTATGGTCTGGGGCAGTATGTCATCAAAAGGAGTAGAAAAACTTCATTTTATTGATGGAAATGTGGATACAAACAAATATTTGGCAACTTTAGAAGAGTCGCTTTTACCAGTGATGGAAGAATGTTTGACATCCGACCAAGATTTTGTGTTTCAGCAAGATGGTGCAGCGTGCCACACCTCAAAAAAGGCTATACAACCGATGGAAGAAACTAATGTACCACTTTTGAAATGGGTTTCTAGCAGTCCAGATCTGTGGCACGAGATGAAAAAGGTTCTACGACAACATCCTGCTCGTACAGTCACCGAACTGAGACAAAAGCTTCAAGAAATATGGGATTGTTTTACACCAAATTTTCGCCAAAACTTGGTTAACACTATGCCCCAAAGAATTTCAGCCCTAATAAAAAATAAAGGTGATGTTAACCAATGGTAATCTTTCAATTTTTGCTTTGTTAACTTCGCGCATTTATTCGCACATTGTTTATTTGTTCAGATGTTCTATTAGTTATAGGCCTAAGTGATTTCAAATATGTATTTTTATTTTATCTAAGATGCTTTTGAGAAAATAAATTGTTTTAGAAGTAAATAGTCTCGTCATGTTTAGTTTATTAAGGCATATTTTGGTACAAATCTTGAAGTGGGCCAATTGAAGTGGGAAGGGGCTCGTACATATCTAACACTATGGCATGAGACTAAAAAAAAATCCAAGGTAACCTATATGACATGAACGCCAATGTAAACTATGGTACAAATTAGGAATTGTTACAGATCAAAAAATAAGACAAAGGAATGCAGATGGCAAATCGTGGGAATCAATATTATGCAATGACTATACATAGTGTGTTTAACAATGCCTCATTAATAATAAACCTTCGACAATTTTCCTAAACTTCCTTAATGACAACACTATGGTGTTAGCATCTATTCTTCTATAGATACTATCAGCATTGTAGGTGAAATTGACTTGAATTATAGATGAATTATGGTGGGGAATAGTGATTGTGCGCTTATGCCTGATGCATCTATTATGCGAACTACCTCTAAGAATTAACTTTTCTCCAAGATATAGAGGCTTACATATAACCATTAACTTATGAATGAAAATGATATAATTAAGCTTCACTAAATTGGTCATTTCCTGCCAGCGCAAAGAAGTTACTTGAGACAAGATCGAAATGGCTTAGACTAAAGATAAATCTTACGGAACTGTTCTGCGCAACCTGCAGTCTGTTTTAGCTATGTCGTCGAGGTAAGGATAGAATAAAGTATTACAGCAGTTGAAAACTTGTAATACAAGTGACTAACAGAGTTCTAATCTCAATTTGAAGTTAAGGATAAAGTTATTAGCATATAAGTACGGAGTCGTAGGTATGATTTCTTTAGGAGAATCTTTACGTGGTCTGTGAACTTAAGCTTCTGGTCGATAGTAAATCCTAATATTTCTGTTCACGAAGAGACATCTATTTTTTCTGTACCAATAAAAGAGGAAAGTTTTAATGGTTTATTTTGAAAACAAATAAAGATTTTAACGTTGAGCCGCATATATATCAGGAGTACAACTCCGTGGACAAACAAGTAACTTGCGATGCAAGGACTGCATCATTGTCTGGTCGCTAAATGAAACCACATATATCCAAATTCCTTCTGTGGCTAGCACGATGGTCTTTTTACATTACAACTACTGTCCGACAATGAGAATATACTAAGTGACATATAAATCCGAACACCCAGTTTAAATGGTTTTATTTTAATAAAAGTTGGTGAATGTATTTATCTTACTGTAAATAACAAGTGAAATAATTTTCAGCCTTATCAGTTGGACATTCCGGTTTTTATACTGATTTTTTTTAATTCACTAATGCTCTAAAAATGAATATTTCAGCCGCAGTAAAGAATCAACGTTGGCGGATTTTGGTTGTTGACATCCTTTACGATCGGTTACGATGCCTAGAGTACGGAGACCTGTACGATTTCGTCAACTTAGTGAGTTTGATAGGGGCCGTATAGTGGGACTTCGGGAAGCTGGACTTTCTTTTCGGGCAATTGCAGTTAGAGTGCAAAGAAGTGTAGACACTGTAGTTAGGTGTTGTCAGGCATGGCTTCGAGAAGGCCGTACGCAAAGAGCAAGGGGCACTGGACGCCGCCGTAGAACAACAGACCGTGAAGATCGCCGCCTAAGATTATTGGCCTTAAGGGACCGTTTCTCCACTACCAGGTCCATTGCGAATGAATGGTTTGCAGAACACGGAAGACCTATTGGCATGCGAAGTGTTTACCGACGAATGAAAAGTTTTGGCTTGTTTTCATACCGGCCACACTGGGTCCTCCCTTTAACTCGAGAACACCGACGTAATTGCCTTGAGTGGTGCAGACAACGGTCACTCTGTGATCAGGAATGGAACAGTATTGTCTTTAGTGACGAGTCTCGATTTTGTTTAGGCATGCACGATGGTCGTGCCAGGGATAGAAGGCGACGTGGTGAAAGGAGGAATCCACAGTTTTTTTGTTGTGTTTGGGGTGCTATAGCTTAGGGTTCCAGGTCACCTTTAATCTTCATCAGAGGTAACATGAACGTGCAGCGTTATATCCACGAAGTTCTAGAACCCCATCTTTTACCCTATCTTGACACCCTGGCAGATCCAACTTTCCAACAAGATAATGCCCGACCACATGCTGCAAGAGTCACAATAGACTTCTTTCAACATAATGATGTCACATTGTTATCCTGGCCACCAAGATCTCCCGACTTATCCCCAATTGAGCACGTGTGGGATATGATGGGTAGGAGATTGCTCAATTTGCAACGTCCTCCTCAGACTCTAGAAGCACTTCGAGAGGAGTTGGTGGTTGCCTGGAGTGAGACACCACAGGAGGACATTGACCAATTGATCAGAAGCATGTCTAGGCGCGTTGGAGAATGCGTAGCACATCAGGGTGCATCCATACATTATTAAAGGTCAAAGGGCTTTAAAGCAGTGCAATCATTTTGAAATTTTTATCATTTACTTATTATGCTTCATTAAGTACTTATACAAAATTTTATTAAAATAAAACCATTTAAACTGGGTGTTCGGATTTATATGTCACTTAGTATATATCTGAGGTTCCATGTATAAGGTTATTAAGGATAAGTTCCAGGTGTTAGATTCACGATTTACACTTAGCAATGCACCCCAAAAAGTGGATTCAGTTTCCTCCAGTACTATTGTCACCTGTATAACTGTAGTTGCTCCACGCCTATGGATTAATCTTTCGCAAAATGATGAACGCACTAGTTTTTTAAAACGGAAGAAGATTGAAAGCACTGAATGAGGTCGAGTCAGTTTGCCGCTTGGCTGTTATTCAGCTGTTTTTATCACGACGAACAACAAAAAACAAGCTAAAAACGGAAATGCATTTGTAAAAAAGGGCCTGAAAATACCGAATGATATAAATCTAAATACTTGATGTGCATGCTTGCTGCGATCGGTTTATTGTTTCAATCCTCAGGCTGTATTTTGTATGGGCCAACGTAAATATTGTAGGAAATAAAATGACATGGGAGACGTTTGTACGATTTTTTTAATTTCGAAATGCATTGTGTTCCACCTACATTAAAAGTCTTTTCAATAATTCTTTGTTTGATCCCAATTCAGGTTTCACTCAGAGAGAAGGGACACTCATCATTATTTGATTGTGAATACAGTAAGCAGAGTAATTTATAGTATGTAAACGGACGCTATTTATCTCATAGAACGCTTGCGCCATTATTAGATCACTCGAAATTGATGGCACAATTAAAATTTAATATAAGGGAGTCAGTATCACTGTATATCAGCATGTCACTAGGTTACAGGTTACCAAATTGGGTAATCATTTCTTGCTCCATTTATCAGCAGTTTATATCTCTATCAATAAGTTAACCTACGAAGAAGAAGGATAGGGGAACGGAGGGTATTACCGTACGGCGTCTAATTTCGTACAGTCAAGTTTGAAAGGAATGAAACGTCAGAAAGCTACCGTTCCTTGTTGCACACGTCGGGTTTGTTGGGTTAGCTGTCACAACAACCGTTCGCGCCATTCTGTGTTCAAACATGGCGGCGAGAGCATGATCTGTGTTTTTGCGATCGTGGATATAATATTTTACCTTCGAAAACTTAATTGTAAGTACTTTAATATGTGTATACGTGTTGTTTTTATTGTTAAAATTGTTGAACAATATTGTTTTTTAATGAAATAAGTTGTTTTCGTTGTAATACTATCATCCGCTTTCGCATGATTCTGCTTAAACATGGAGGATAGTATGTCGGCAAAGTGCGTACACGTGTACGGTATTTGCCGCATCGAAATAATCAGTACACGAAAAATATTAAAATTGTTTTTGAAATTGTCCCAGTACATAATTGTATCATTTTGACCCTCAGGTCTTTGATATTAGGAAATAAAAACTTTATTTACAGATGGAGCCTAAAAAGAAGTGCTCTTGGTCGCCCAGAAAAATGAAAAGTGCAATAAGGGACATTCGTGGTGGAGCAAAGTTGAGGCCGACAGCTGCTTTGTATGGTATTCCTGTTATGACATTATCTGATTACTCAAAAAGGGACAGCTATGATCTTTCATTTCGCATGGGAAGAAAACCCGTTTTCTCTCGTGAACAGGAGACAGAAATTAGAGATCAAATATTACTTCTGGCAAGTATGTTTTATGGATTGACGCCACAATCATTGAAAGCAGCAGTTTTTACATATGCGGAGTCTAACAAAATTAAAAATCCTTTCAATAAAGATAAAAAAGAAGCTGGTAAAGACTGGATGTATGGGTTTTTAAAAAGGAATCCTGAAATAAGCATCAGACGCCCGGAACCTACCAGCGTAAATAGAATTCTTGCCTTTAATGCCACAGAGGTACAGATATTCTTTGATAATCTGTCATCAACATACGACAAATATAGATTTCGTCCTCGTAGAATATTTAATGTTGATGAAACAGGCATCAACGCTGTTCACAAACCAGGTAAAATACTTGCTCCTAAAGGGATTAAGCAAGTAGGATCTGCCACAAGTTGGGAGCGTGGGAAGAATATTACTATTTGTTGCTGCATTAGCGCAAAGGGCCAGTATGTTCCACCACTTATTATATATCCTCGGTTGAGAATGCATCCGTCACTAGAGCAAGGAGGTCCAAACGGTTCAAGTTATAGATGTAATAAGTCAGGGTGGATGACTGAAGAATTGTTCTTTGCATGGCTAGTGCATTTTGCGGAACATACAAAACCCTCATTGGAAGACCCGGTATTATAGATCCTAGATAATCACAGTAGTCATATTTCTGTGAGAATTTACGATTTTTGTCGCCAAAATGGCATTATTATGATGACAATACCGCCTCATACGTCGCACAGGACCCAACCCCTGGATATTACAGTTTACAGTCCCTTGAAAACAGCTTTACATAAAGAACGTGATGCCTATATGAAACTCCATCAATATGAGAAACTAACGCCACTGCAATTGATTCCACTGTTCACTCAAGAGTATTTGAATGTAGCTAATGCAGAAAAAGCACTTAGTGGTTTCCGAGCATCAGGCATTTGGCCCTTCAATCCAAACGTTTTCAGTCAATTGATACAAGAAGGAAATGATAACGCTTCTGACAGGATTTCCGCAGAACAGGCTATTGTAGATATAAGGATGGAGTCTGAAAATGTGGAAGCATCATCTGCTTTACTAGACATTCCGATGGATTTTAATGAGAGGTCATATTTAGTACCTACAAATGCAGGACCAAATGAATCCGCTGATGACTCACGCCCTTCAACATCAGGAATTCAAAATTCGTTACTTTTTGAAAATCCAGAACCAGAGATAGCTCATAATTCACTTCCGTCAAAATCTGCAACTCAGACAGAAATTGAGCATGCCAAACGACAACTTTTTGTGACTCCTGTGGGAAATAAAACACCTGAACACGTAATACCTTTTAGTGAAATATCACCAGCTCCTGAAAGGAAACACATTTCAAAAGGGAAAGGTATAGGTAAACGGACCAAACAGCAATCAAAATTACTTACTTCGACGCCTATGAAATAAATTTTAGAAAAAATTGAGGAAAAACGAGTCGCCAAAAAGAATAAACTAGAGGAACACTCTGAGACTATGACAAAAAAACTTAAAAAGAGGAAAAATAAAATAGTTTTAAAAAACAAATGATAAAGGAGAGTTCATCATCTTCTGATGAAGATCTACATGTTCTATGTGATGATGAAGAAGAGTTAGATGATGATTTTTCTGAAGGAAGGGGAGGTGAGACAGGTGTCGAGGAACTATGCGTTATTTGTGGTGATTTCGGGAAGGATAACGAATTGTGGTACAGGTGCGTCAGCTGTGGTAGCTGGTCGCACGCTTTATGTTCCGGATATGATTCTGCAGTTAATTATTTTTGTGGCTTTTGTATGTAAAGACAGGAAAACGTTTATGATTTATGTTAGAAGTTCATTACCGTTTATTTTGAGTTAAATATATTTCTGTTAAATTATGATTTTCAGTTTTTTTACGCTAATACACTAATGAAACGGATGGCATATACGAGGATGTGTGTACGAAATTAGACGACTACATGTACGGCGTTACCCGCTTGATTCGGTTAATGCCGTACAAAGACTGCTTTCAATTGGAGTGCTCTATCTGGTATAATTGTGACTTTTATTTTCTGTCGTTAAGCATATATATAATAGGCCTAATTATTAGCAAATTCAAATCGATAATTATCTTTTTTGATGAATACTTGAGTAACAAGGACATTTTATAGTTATGTGTACGGCAATACCCTCCGTTCCCCTAAGCAACTTAAAGATATCACAGAGTTTTGTTAGTGTAATTCAAATCCTTGTATAAGGAGTCAGTATCACTATATATCAACAAAGTTCTTGATTTACACACATAATTATACAATTCAGCGAGCTTCGTCATTTTCAGCTCCATTTATCAGCAGCTGAAAGCCTCTTATTTATATCTCTGAATCTGTATCAAGCGCTACTGAGGAATCCCAGCGAAACAGCAGACAAATGTAAAAAAGTAGGTTAAACGATCGAAGCAGCAGGGGTGACAGGCACATGCATTCATGCATGCTGCAGCAGTAATGTGTCTATTTCCTGTTGGATCTGATTACTTTAGCGCGTCATAAAAGGGGTGCTAGAGCATCCGTATGCAAAGAAATAAGATGCGACCGGATTTTCCACCGCTGCTAATGGATATTGGATCTGAACAGTGCGCAAGGGAAGGCCTAGTAACCCTTAGGGCACGCTTACACTAAAGGTACGATGTCTCGACGCTTTGCATTACCGCGGTACAGGGAATATCATGACTCAGAGATCATTGCTATACCAACAGACGTTGTTGTCTTCGAAATCTGCCGGTTGTTTTCGCTAACCTGGGGTTTGACCTGTATTACTGGTCTAAAAGTACAGATTATCTTGGAGCAACCCGTCCCTGGCTTGGGTGTTTGTTCGTAGATGTCTCGCATCTATCAAAGAACTGTCCTTGGTTTGGAGATTCGTTTCGGGTTAGCTTGGCATCTACCAAAGAAGCGACAATGCAGCATTGCCAAACTGTCAAAGAATGTTGTCAAACTGCTACCTTAAAGCATCCCACAAACCGGCGCGAAATAATCGCGGCGAAGTATTCGCAACGAAATTCAGAGCGAAATTCGCAATCTGTTTCGCTTGTTTATTCATACCAAAGCGTCTTATTCGCTCCGCGAACGTGAAGGTTTCGACAGGTTGCGTACATTTTATTTTTGCCTTTTGCAATGAGCTCGTCTTCAGAAGAAGAGGAGGCACTTCTATTTCTTGCTTTAGAAGAGGAACAAAATGCACTGTAAGTTATGTTTATTTAACGCCATTTGATAGTTGGGTATGTATTAAGTTTAACGAAGTACATAAAACAAATATTTTCAATTTTGTTTAGGAAACGAAGGAAGTGGGTACATGATATTAACTTGGAACGAAATAAATTTGGGGAATACCATACCTTGATGCCACAACTTCGGCTGGATGAACAGCGCTTTTACGTATATTTTAGAATGACTCCAGAGTGTTTCGATGAAATATTGAACTTGGTGAAAGATGAAATACGAAAATCTGACACAAATTATCGTGAAGCTATTTCGCCAGAAGAACGACTTGCTATTACACTCAGGTAAAAAAATTATATGTATTAAAATTAGTAGGCTTATCGAATACGAAAACTTCAGGGATCGTGAAATAAATATTTTATTGTAATAATTGGACTACATGTTGCCACTAGGATTAAATGTTGCTAAATAATTCGAGGCAGAATTTGCCTCCTCTGTTGGGTATATTATTGGAGTAAACCCAGTGCCGCTTGGGAAGGACGACATACTACTATCATACATACTTGCAGAATTCTGGGTAGACGCTGAAGACGTTTCTTCAATATGTTCAGATTCTTCGTGCGCTATTAATTCGGCTATTTTTAGTTTTATTCGGGTTTGACGCTTTAAGGGAAGTGTTTTCACAGTCTGTGCATGTGCCAAGAAAAGTGAATCAATGGCCTCGTTCTCTTTTTTAGGTTTTTTACCTTCAAAATAATTAATGAGAGATGGTGGCTCATAGCGTTTTCTGCTCGTTTTATATTTTGGTATAGTTGCAGGCGTGCCCTGGAGTAGTCACTGCTGTAGTGTTCAATGAAGAAGGTGGTGCTGTCTGTGTTGCCGAGGCGTTCTGTGCATCTTCTACATCTACATCAGCATTTTCATCTTCTCCATGGCCGCGGTCTTCCAAATTTTCGGTTTCTACATTTCCAGCCCTTTCCTGATATATATTTGAGTTAAATTCGGCAGTCTCATAATGTATGACGTCAATATCTTTCACATTAGACGACGTTTTGGCAAATGCCAAAAAAGGACGGAAAAATTCCATGTAGTCAGCCCACTGCCATTTTTTTATGTTGCCCACTGCTTGGCCGGTCTTTGGTTTGGTAGATTTTATATATTTTGCAAATGTGTCTCTGATATTCTTCCACCTTTTTTTTACTTCATCACCTAAAAACGATTTTTTTTTATAGATTCCTTGCCACTGGTGACACCTTCTATACCATTAGGCATAGCTTTCGAGTTGGCTTTACAACAGTGAGTGCAATCGTAACCGAAGTCTGTGAAGCGTTATGCAGACATATGGAGCATATATATTTACCAGAACCAACAGAGAATATATGGAAAAAAGTGCTGAAGAATTTGAAAATAGATGGGGATTTCCCAATTGCATTGGCAGCGTGGACGGTAAACATGTAACAATCAAGAGACCTAACAACAGTGGCTCCAATTACTGGTGCTATTTACATAAATATTCAATAGTACTTATGGCCATTGTTGGCCCGGACTATAAATTTATATGTGTTGATATTGGTGGTTTCGGAAAAAATAGTGATGAGGGTATTTCCAAAACCTCAAACATGGGAAAACGATTTGAACAAAATTTAATGAGTGTCCCTGCACCTAGATTTCTCCCTGGGCAAAATGAAATCTGCTCGTACGTCTTAATTGGTGATGAAGCATTTGCTTTAAAACCATACCTTATGAGACCATTTCCTTATAAGCCGACTTTAACAGACGTCAGAAAAGAGAAATACAATGTAAGACTTTGTCGAGCTAGAAGGGTCGTGGAAAATGCGTTTGGTATTTTGTCTCAAAAATGGCGAATATTTTACAGGCCATTAGAAACTAAAGTAGATACTACTATTCTAATTGTACGTACGGCATGTATTTTACACATTTTTTTACGAAGTAAAAGTGGCGATGACAAATATTTTCAATTCTTAGATCCCCCAGAACCCGTGCTTGGAGCTTTTACTGATATAGCAAATGATCCTCGGTGGGCAGCAAGGCTAGCATTTTCTACTCGTGACAAATTCGTAAATTATTTTAATTCTGATATGCCTATGTCCAATATATAGAATGTTCGTTATCACATTTGTGTAGACTGTAAATTATTTAACAAGTTAATAAAAAATATTAGGTACATACCATTTGTATTTAATTCTTTTCCTATTTCCATCCAAATCTCGTCTTTCTTTCTCACATTCCTGTATTCATCGTTCGACAAATCATACAAACAAGGATACTTTTTCACTATTTCTATCAATAATTCCGTTTTTGCCATTGCGAATTTTTGAAGAACGGCGTCAAAAACGCGGTCAAAGGCGAACTGAAATACGCCGCGATAAAAACGCTGGAACAATCGCATTCGCTTCGCACAAGTCTGAGCCTGTCCGTAAACCGCCGCGTTTTAATCTGATCGCGAATTCATCGCCGCGAAATTTTCGCAGCCAAAGCGAATATTTCGCGCCGGTTTGTGGGATGCTTTATACCGAGCTGAATGAAGTACATTTTTTTCACGATTTTTCTGATTAATTCAGATTGTATTAACTGTACCACTTGCACAGCTTATCTTGCACGCTGGACAAGCCGATTCTTAACGCGGCAGCTACTTCCAACACACACAGATGGATTGTGTCACAGCCAACCGCTTTTTGAAAATAAGGCAGTCTCCAGGCTACTGACAGTGACAACAACAACCAGAAAACGTATGCATCTGAGCTTATACTCGTAACAACGTCCCTACAAAGAGGCATATTGCACATGTATGTGCATAGACATCTATGTATGAAAGTAATTCTTGTAGTTTTACTGTGACCCGCCAAAAAAATTGAAAAGGCCTGTAGCAGGTGTCTTATTGTTGTACATTTCTTATATTCATTTTCCCAAAATACAGTTGTAAAATACTTAACTCAGAGCGCATTTTAAAAGCTGCATTTGTTGGAATAAGAATGACATCATAACTGATTAAGGTTCTATTTGTAGTACTTGAAAGGAAGGGCGTGATTGCTCTGATCGATGCATTTGGAAAAGTACTCTTTTTCAAGTGATGGACAACGAATTCATCCAAAAAATATTATTTACCTGGCAATGCCGCATGTATCTCTAGCCAAATAGTAACACGTGATTGGACGCTATCAGCTGTTTTACTTTTGGTTTAGTCAGTCTACCCCTCTCTAATCTGATCACCTTGTGTGTGTTCTCTTGGCATAACTACTTCTTGGTTACACTGCTGCGAAACAGCAACAGCAGACTGAGTGTATGTCCTACTTATGTATATAGTTCAGATTTTGAGTATATTGTCTTTAGTGTGATTAAATAATTTATTTACACATATGTATATGATCAATAATATGGACAACAAACAAACGGAACCTTCCTTACAGTAGTTAGTTAACAGAGCTGCGTTTCAGTGGTTTATGGTTGGAGAGTGATACGCTCCTGAACTGCTGCAGAAGCACTGGGAAGCAGCTCTTGAAACACTAGATTATACAATATATTTAGACACTAGACAGTGTTCATGACCAGGGATGACTTATTTCGCCACCTCAATGTCAAGATAAT